TGAACGCGACGGCCTCCTGGAGCGCAGAGAGGCGCTGGAACAGAGGTTGGAGGGCCGCTGGCAGGACCGGCTGCAGGCCACTGAAAAGTTCCAGGTGAGGTCACCGACCTGAGTAAGACCAGGCTCTAGGAAGTGCTTAGGATGCCAAGAGACCTTCAGGAAGGGAATGGGACAAGAGTAAGTGCAACTGTATTCAGGAGCCCCTGCCCAGAACACACAGGTCCTAGACTTTCTCGTCTAGGCAGGCAGGATGGAATTCTGAAACCTCATGGCACTGCCCACTTGTAAGGCCTGCAGGCCACAAGGCCCATTGTAGCAGCTCACCACTCTCTGAATGGCATTAGGACGGCTCCCTGTGTCCTTTCCTATGCTATTGTCAATCAGAAGGTTCCAAGCACATGCTCCATCAGCGCCAGAAGGTCCCTAGCAACCAAGGTGAAGGAAGGCGGGGTGAGCCGCCCCTGACCACCAGCCTCTCTCAGTGTCACCACTTCTCAGCTCCCTGGAACACATTCCATAGGCCCGGGGCACCCTCCCCCTCATACTGCACAGATGTGACCAACAGCTGAGAAAACAACCTCTTGCCTGGTCCAGACAGAAGTCTCGGCATGGCCACCTTCCCACTCCTCTTGGAGGAGAAAGATTCCAGAACATGTGGGAAGTGGAGGAGCCAGGCCTGCTGTGAGGAGCTGGGGACAGTGAGGGCCCAACTGCTTTCGTTCCAAGCCGACTCTTGATAAATTGCTTTTTCCTTCTGTTTCCATTTTACCCCCACCCCTTCCTCTCTGTAACCCATCTCCTCTCCTTTACCCCAACCCCCTCCCATGGGAGCTGGATTCTCAACAACATGTGCTACCATTTAGTCAACATCCTCAAGAGAAGCCAGCTCTAAGAGAGGCTAGAGTGTTCCCTGGAGTCTGGGGGATCCAGTCCAGTGCTCTGGGCAGGGAGGATGTAGGTAAAGGAACAGGAGTCGGCCCTACAAAGAAGTCATCAGAGAACAGAAAGGAGGGCCAGGGTCTAGAGCAGAGACCCCTTCTCACTCTCTGGCTTGCTTTGCAGCTGGCTGTGGATGCCCTGGAGCAGGAGAAGCAGGGCCTACAGAGCCAGATCGCTCAGATCCTGGAAGGGGGACAGCAACTGGCACACCTCAAGATGTCCCTTAGTCTGGAGGTGGCTACATACAGGTACACAGATGTACACACAAGGCTGACTCCTTGCCTGAAGGGCCCAGGAACTTGACTTTGTACTTCCTGTGACCTTCAGCTGTTGCTTTATAAGAATATTTATTTCTGTGTATTTGTGTATGTGTAACGCGTGTGCAGGTGTCCTAAGAGTCCAGAAGGGGGCCGGTCCCCTGGAGCTGGAGTTACAGGTGGTTGTGAGTAGCTCCACAGGGCTGCTGTGAGCCAAAGTCCTGTTCTCTGCAAGAGCAGCAAACACTCTTAGCGCTGAACCATCGGTCTAGCCCTCAGACTCACTTAAAATTTTATTATGTTCATTTATTTGTCTATGATGGAGGCTTCTGAGTCTTAGGGATCAAACAGGTTGTTGTCAGCCTTGGTGACAGGTACTTTTGCCTACGAGCCATCTCACCAGCCATCTCAGCTGTCACACCTAGACTTCCACTTGAGCCCACCTGCTGCCCCTTGAGCTCAGGGCCAGTTGAGGTGAGGTGGTAATGTTTAAAGAGATGCTCAGTCTTCAGGGAGGAAACGGGAGGGCACAGGCATCTGGGTCTGACTTCTCTCAAAGACAGGAAGTAGCTACAGTTTCTGTGCAAACACCCTGGGAGTACCTGGGAAGTCTCATAAAACAGACCTTGCAAGTGTGTCTAATCATGATGACCAGGCCCCTGACCTAGCCTCAGCTATTCCCTACCTATTTTGTTGGTTGCCTCGGGAAGGCTGAGTGGCTCCCTCAGTATAGCCTCCATATGTGTCTCTTATGGGAAAAGACTCCATCTGGGAGCCCCACTGCTGAGGACTGGGGATATCCCGAGTACGGGGCCAGGGCAGGATGTTCCCCTTTTCCAGAATCCAGCAAAGAGGAGTGGAGGTAGGGCCCAGAGAAGGAAAGCCAGTGAGGATTTAAGGACTGAGTGCACAGGGCAGGATGCTGCATGAGGACAGAGGAAAGGTCATGGGCAGAAACAAGAGACTAGCTTGGAATCCCTTGTGAATTGATTTCTCCTCCAATCAGCTCCACAGACCACTGAGACAGAGGCATGAATCTAAAGACCTCTGCCCTGAAGGGTTCAAGGGCCTTAACCCCAGTCAACTCTCTGAGGGGAAGGGTCCAGGCAGCTCAGAGGAATGTAACCACTGGAGTTTGAGGTCTGAAAAGGATTTGGAGAGGGGGAGACGAATTCGTTTGCTTTTGTCTGTCACCAGCTCGGGGGGGGGGGGGGGGGGGGGGGGGGGGCAGAGAAGGGAGCCACCTCATGGGAACAGCCTGAGAATTCCCACTTCCCCTTAGAAGCCCCCCTTCTCAGGCCCTCCAGATGGTGGTGTAGACAAAAGGCAGTAATTAGCATGAGAATCAGCCTCCCTCCCAGAGGATGAGGTCATTGGCCTTGGCCTTGGGTGGGGAGGCGGAGACTGATCTGAGGAGTCTGATCTAAGCGTTAGCAATTCACTTGGCCCTGTGTCTGACTGTGGGAATCTGCTTGTGGGGTCTCCCTGTATCTCAAATGTGGGTGTGACCAAGTAAAAGATAGCCGTGGGCATATGACTGTGTAGCTATTGTGTGACAATGGTGATAGAGAGTGAACCTGCAATGTCAAGACATGCCACCTCAGCTGGGGCTGACCCCGTTCTCCCTTCTCCCCACCAGGACTCTGCTGGAGGCTGAGAATTCCCGGTTGCAGACACCTGGCCGAGGTTCCCAGGCTTCCCTTGGTTTTCAGGGTAAGAGGAGAAGCCAGCTGCTCCTGGAAGTACCACCCTTTACTCTTAAAATACCTTTCCTAAGCAGCACCAATCAATCTAAATCTTTGCTGTGTGGCTCCAATCATACTGATGTTCCCAGTCTAGCCAGTGGGGGTCAGAGAAAATGGCTGGTATACTCTGGCCAGGGTGAGGGCTGCTCTGTGGTGAGGTCAGGACATACTTATAGTGTTTCTTACTCCGCTCTTCCAGATCCCAAGCTGAAGCTGCATTTCCTTGGGACACCAGAGGACCAGCACCTGGGATCTGTGCTCCCTGTCCTCAGCCCAACACCCCTCCCTTCCCCCTTGCCTGATACCCTTGAGACACCTGTGACACCCTTTCTGAAGACCCAGGAATTCCTTCAGGCCCAAACCCCCACCTTGGCTAGCACACCTATCCCACCCATGACTGAGGCTCCCTTTCCTACAAAAGCAGAAGTCAGAGCCCAGGATGTCCCTCTTTCCCTGCTCCAGACACAGGGTGGGAGGCATCAGGCTCCAGAGCCTCTCTGGTCCGAAGCCACAGCACCTGTTTCCACCGGTGTCCTCGAACAATTAGAGGAGGCTGGAGGCAAGCAGCCAGGCCACTTCCCCAAGGATGCAACCACCTCAGCTCCATCCCTCAATCTTCATCTCCCTGTTTTAGAGGCTAAAGATGTAGACTCCAGTGAGTCTAGAGTATCTACCATATTCCAGGAAGATGAAGGGCAAATCTGGGAGCTAGCAGAGAAAGAAGCTGCCATAGAGGTAAAAGTAGAGAGCAGCTTGGCACAAGAAACACAAGAAGATGGTCTGGACGCAGAAGAAATCCAGGATTCCCAGGGTCCTTTGCAAAAGGAAACCCTAGAGACTCTAGTAGAGGAGCCACTTATGTCTCTGAAAATCCAGAGCCATGAGACCCCTGGAAAGGAGAATTGCAATTCTCTGAGGTCTGTAGACGAGAACCAGGGAATACTAAAAAGCCCAGAAGAAGAAAAACAAACACTACTCAAGTCTTTAGAAGAAAAGGATGTAGAGGTAGAGAAAACTCTAGAAAAGGGGGTTCCTGAATTGTCTAAGCCTTTAGGAAAAGAAGACCCAAGAATGGAGGGTCAAGAATTAATATCTCCTGAAGGTACACTAGAGACACTTCCATTTATAGGAAAGGAAAATGAAGAGGTAATGAGGTCTTCAGAAGAGAAGAACTTAGAGTCATTGACAGCTTTTAAAAAGGAGAGTCAGCCTCCACTGGGATGTCCAGAAGAAGAGGTCCAGAGGGTTGAGAGGCTGATAGAAAAGGAGGGTCAGGAGTCTCTGAGGTCTCTGGAAGAGGAGGACCAGGAGACATACAGACCTTTGGAGAAAGAGAATGGGGAGCCACTAAAGTCTGTAGAAGAAGAGGTCCAGCTGGTTGAGAGACTGATAGAAAAGGAGGGTCAGGAGTCTCTGAGGTCTCTGGAAGAGGAGGACCAGGAGACATACAGACCTTTGGAGAAAGAGAATGGGGAGCCACTAAAGTCTGTAGAAGAAGAGGACCAGCTGGTTGAGAGGCTGATAGAAAAGGAGGGTCAGGAGTCTCTGAGGTCTCTGGAAGAGGAGGACCAGGAGACATACAGACCTTTGGAGAAAGAAGAGGACCAGCTGGTTGAGAGGCTGATAGAAAAGGAGGGTCAAGAGTCCCTGGGGTCTCTGGAAGAGGAGGACCAGGAGACATATAGATCTTTGGAGAAAGAAGAGGACCAGCTGGTTGAGAGGCTGATAGAAAAGGAGGGTCAGGAGTCCCTGAGGTTTCTGGAAGAGGAGGAACAGGAGACATATAGACCTTTGGAGAAAGAAGAGGACCAGGAGACATACAGACCTTTGGAGAAAGAGAATGGGGAGCCACTAAAGTCTGTAGAAGAAGAGGTCCAGCTGGTTGAGAGGCTGATAGAAAAGGAGGGTCAAGAGTCCCTGGGGTCTCTGGAAGAGGAGGACCAGGAGACATATAGACCTTTGGAGAAAGAGGACCAGAAGGTTGAGAGGCTGATAGAAAAGGAGGGTCAAGAGTCCCTGGGGTCTCTGGAAGAGGAGGACCAGGAGACATATAGACCTTTGGAGAAAGAGGACCAGAAGGTTGAGAGGCTGATAGAAAAGGAGGACCAGGAGTCCCTGAGCTGTCTGGAAGAGGAGGAACAGGAGACATATAGACCTTTGGAGAAAGAAGATGACCAGAAGTTTGAGAGGCTGATAGAAAAAGGGGACCAGGAGTCCCTGACCTGTCTGGAAGAGGAGGACCAGAGGATTGTGAAACTTCTAGAAAGAGAGAATCAGGAATCTCTGAGGTCTCTTGATGAAAACCAGGACACAATTATGCCACTAGAAAGCAAGACCCAGAAGCCACTGAAATCTCTAGAAGTAGAAGAGGAGCAGAGAATTGTGAAACCTCTAGAAAAAGTGAGTCAGGGCTCCATCGGGTCTCTAGAAAAAGAGAATGTGGAGCTACTGGGGTCTCTAGAAGACAATGACCAGATGACTGAGAGCCTGTTAAAAAAAGGGACTCAGGAGTCCCTGGGGTCTCATGAAGATACAAACCAGGAGACCCAAGATCCACAGAGGTTTCTAGAAGAGGAGGGCCAAGGGATTGTGAAACAGCTAGAAAAAGAAAACCAGAGCTTCCTGGGGTCTCTAGAAGAAGAGCAGGTGGTCAAGAGATCTCTAGAAAGAGAGAACCATGAACCTCTGAGTTCTGTAGAGAAGAAGGACCAGATGACCAAGAGCCTGCTAGAAAAAGAGAGTCAGGACTCAGGGAAGTCTCTTGAGGAGGACCAGGAGGCCTTTAGATCTCTGGGAAAAGAGGATCCAGAGTCCCTGCAATCTCTGGAAGAGCAGGACCAAGAGATACAGAGATATCTTCAACAAGAGACTCAACAGATACTGGGGACTCTTGGGAGTGCGCAGATGGCATCAAAACTACCAGAAAACGTGGGTCCAGAGTTACTGAAGTCTCTTGGGAATGACCAGGAAATAGTTAGGTCTCTTGAAGAACAGAACCAAGAGTCACTGGTGTCACTGAAAGAAACAAGTGTGGAGACAGTGAAGTCTTCAGAAATAGAGAACACAGAACCGCTAAAGAATGCAGAAGAGGACCTGGAAATAATCAACTCTATAGAAGCTCAAGAGTCATTGTGGTCTACAGAAGTGACTAGAGAGACAACGAAACCCCTAGAAAAAGAAATTCAAGAATCACTGGGATTTGTGGATGGGAACCAAGAGATGCTGAGACCCCTTGACAGGGAGAATCAAGAATTAAGATCTCTGGGCAAGTGGCACCTAGAGACTGTGGACTCCTCAGAAGGGATGGAGGAGGGCAGGCAACGCCTGGAAGTGGAAGCGGTCCTAGAGACAGAAGAACACCAGGAATTACTGGGGTCTCTGGAAGAGGGAGAGCAGGGGCTGCCTGGGTGTGTAAATCAACAAGGGTGGGAGGATATGGCAGTGGAGCATGCAGCAGCCGATCAGGGCCCAACCCTAGGGAGGGCAGGAGTAGAAAGTGAGGATGAGGCAGAGCTGCCCCTGAGTGGGCAAGGTGAGAAGAAAGAAGGTGCTGAGGAGAGGGAGCGGCAACTAGATGCCATGGGGGAGGCCTGGAGCCTGGAGATCTCTGAGCCCCAGGAGCAAAGGGTCCCTAGCGAGGAAGGGAGTCCTGGGGCCCTCCAAGACCTGGAGGGTCAACCAGAGCAGGTGGGGGCCCTAGAGGTCCCAGTTGGTGAGGGAATACCAGAGGTGACAGAGCCCCTGTTGCAAGATGAGGATATAGCCCAAACAGGTGAACAAGACTCCATAGAGGTTACTCTGGGCTCAGAGAATGCTACCAGAGCTGAGCTGGTACTGGAGCAGGAAGTGGTAGGGTTAGGAGGGCCAACGCATCTGGCCAGGGAGGAGGCCAACCACCCATCCCTGGGGGAGGAAAGTGTGGAGGCAAAGATAGCTCAGGACTTGGAAGGGTCTGGAAAAGAACCAACGGAGGCAGGTGCTCTGGAGTCAGAGAGCTCTGAATTGCCCAGAGCTAGCAGTGACACTCTGGAATCCAAGGGCTGCAGGGAGTCAGAGCCTGTGGTGGGATGGGCAGTAGAGGAAGCCTCAGTGGAGACCTCAGACCATGAGGGCAGTGGCAGCCCTCAGCCCAGGCCCTCAGAGACAGAGGGAGATGAGGGTACACAGGCAGCACTGGCACCCCCTGATCCCAAGCTCGTGGAACCCTGTTCACCCACCCCTATCCTGGAAGATGCCTGTGAGCAGCAGCCCCAGGCTGATGGGATTCAGGAAGCTGGGTGGCAGCTAGAAGGTGGGTCTGAAGCACTGGAAAGGGTAGAAGATGAGCAAGAGTTTGGTCTTGGGGAGATCCCCGAGGGCCTCCAGGACTGGGAGGAGAGCAGAGAGGAAAGTGAGGCTGATGAGTTAGGGGAAACTCTCCCTGACTCTACTCCCCTGGGCCTCTACCTGAGGTCCCCTACCTCCCCAAAGTGGGACCTGGCTGGAGAGCAGAGGCTCTCCCCTCAAGGGGAGGCCCGGAAGGAAGGCTGGGGTCCTGCTGTCCTCAGCAACCCATCAGGGGAGGAGGAGCAAGGCCATGACTCTGACCTATCATCTGAGGAGTTTGAGGACCTGGGGACCGAGGTCTCTCTTCTTCCAGGGCTTCCCAAGGAGGTGCCCCCAGTACCAGAGCCTGAATGCTGGGATCAGGGTGGGGAGTCTGATGGGTTCGCTGATGAGGAAGAGAGTGGGGAGGAGGGTGAGGAAGGAACTGAGTCAGGGGCTCAATGGTGGGGGCCGGGATCCTCTGGTGGAGGCTTCAAGGTCCAGCATATCACCCAAAGAGGGGACCTCCTGGAACATGAATCTGTGGGTGTCAGTGGTCCCTGGGATGATGACTTGAGAGGTGCTACAGCCAATATCTCTGTGACTGGCCTGGAAACCGAGTCTCAGGACAGTGCTGAGCCTTCTGGGTCAGAGGGGTCTGAGTCTGTTTCCTCAGAGGGGGAGGATCAAGTCCCTGACCATTTGGGTGCTCCCCAAGGGGTGACTAACATGGTCCCAGTGGGAGGAGACACCTTTGGTATCAGCGGCCAGGGCCCCAGGTTGGAGTCAGAGCACATGAACGGGAGGATGGAGAATGGATTAGAGCAGTCTGAGGGGCAGGGAGTCCTGGATGGGCACCAGGATCAAGAATACCCTTCACAGGAACAGGAAGTGGGTGCCTTAAAGGCCCCTTTGGTAGGGTCTGCTGTGCACCAAGGCCCAAGCCAGTCCCTGGAGTTCCCTTTGAGTGGAGTAGATGGAGATTCCTGGTCCTCAGGGGAAGACTAGAGAGTGCGCCTCTGATGCTGAGGGCTTAGGGCTTAATGTGGGAGGATGTCCCTCCCTGCTCTGGGCCAGCACTCTCAGCTTTGATAGCTTGTCCTGTGGTGTCTGTCCTGCAGAGGTATGGCTGGCTAAGGGAGATGAGGTCCTGTCAGGGCCATCTTGCTTGGAGTGTCCTGAAGGCTCAAGCCAGCTGAGCCTCCGTAGTTCTAGGCCTCCTTTCTTCTGCATCTCACCTGCCAGAAGAAGCCTGGGCTCTGAGCTTTCCCATGGGGCTGCTCTGGCCAGGTCTTGCTAGCCCTGCCTGTCTACAGTAGTGCCATCTTTACCAGGCCTGTTCTGGTCTATACCCAGAGGAGCTGAGGGCAGCAATTATCAACCTGTCACCTCATCTCAGCCTGCTGAGATCTTGTTCTGCTCTTCCTTCCTTGTTTGAATAAAGTTGTATCCCTCCCTACAAAGTCTGGCTGCTTCTGTCTAGTTTTCATGAAATAATCCTGGTTAAGAAGCAATGGCATGGAGGGGCTGCCTCTGGGGGAGGCCAGGTTGTCACCTCCACCCACAACACTGATTACAGGGTCCTTCCCACTGGATGTCCTCCTAGCCAGCCCCGCAGTGTCTCCAGCATAATTAGCCCCCTGGTTCCTAAACCTAAACAGCTGTCTAGTCTGGTGGTTGACTGGGTTGGAGTTGGGGAGGGAGAGAGAGGCCTGGTGTGCTTTAGTCTGGCTGTGCAGCCTCAGGTCAACACACCCAGCCACACACAATCCAGGGAAAGCTGGATTGTCCTATGTCCTGGATGGCCTCCCGGGGCTGGGAGGACACGAGAGAGGCCAGGGGAAGCCTCTGCAGCTCACAGTGGAGGTCTCCCCTGGCATTTTTCTCACCCACTGAAGCAGGAGACATGGAAGAAAGGATAGGGGGTCAGGGGAATGTGAGGGAGCTGTCCAGGTGACAGCCTGGAGTGAGCAGCGTACTATGCAATGCTAGGGGTGGCTCAGAAGCAGGCTCTGTTGGTACGCTTCTCTCTCAACATCTGTGCAGGGAGGCACCCACATGCCTCAAAGCTGGGATGCCCAAACAGAAAGTACCTGTCAGTTAACTCTGCAAGGAGGAAGATAAATGCCCAGATGTTATCTAGATACCATGATGGGAATGACACTGCTGCCACACATGGACACCATCAGAAGCCCAGAGCAGGCTCCTTCTCTCCTTAGGATCAAGAGTTCCCTATGAGGGCAGACAAAGGCTGTCCTAGCCAACTGGCACTGTGGGCTCCTCTGTACACAACCTTCAAATCTATGTTCTGGTTCCAGGGCCCATTTCATCCACACCCCTTGCCCTGGGGGTCCAGGATCCTGATCCTCCTACCCCACCCTCCTGGCAGCCCAAGCCTCCGCTCTCTCCTTCCTGTTCACTAATAACAAGGTTCTCCTGTCTGGTTTGCCAACTGACAAGGCATAGATCTGCATGCTGGCAATAAGGCAGGCGAAGTCTGTCTCTTTAATGGGACAAGACATCCTGTGCTTCCTCTCTCCAAGCCCTTGGGTACCACTGCTTGGGTGAACACCAAAGACAGTGCTAAGCCAACTAGCCCTGCCCTGTACCAGATCCCTATCCTGTACCCTCACAAGCTTTGATCCTCTATAGTTATCCCAACTGGCCACTGAAGCTAGCTAGTAACTCTACACAGGGGTCAGGCTGCAAGTTAGAACTGAGGAGTTCGCTATAGGGGTATATACAGAGCAGGAGGTATAGTCTGTATGGAAATGGTTCTGAGTCCAAGCAGCAAGGGAGGCAAGAGCTGGACTGTGACAGGGACACCCCTGGTTGTGATCATCAGTGTGGTTGTCATTTTACTGACCATCTACACTGTGCAGGCTCTGAGAACACTGACAACTTACAACACAACTTTTTGCACAGGAAGCTTTAGCAGTTCTGGAACAAAGGCTGCCAAGTTGAAATTGTCTCGGGACACAGACCCATGCTGGGTAGGGGCTCGGAGGAGGGCAGACTGGCAGAATACCGGGTGTGTGTGTGTGTGGGGGGGGAAACAGAACAGAAGAGATCTGGGGTAGTGGAAGACAGAAAGCAGGCAGAGTGGTGGGAAGAAGAGAGCGGGAGAAGGCCTTGGGGAGATGGCAGGAAGCCCTGACAGTGGGCAGAGTCCTCCCCAAGAAGCCAGGAAGCATGGGCTCTTCTTAAGAGAAATGGATGCTTCAGAAAGGATTGCGCCCAGGTGACACCTCCAGGACTTCCGTTTCCTGAGCAGGAACAGGCCAGAGTCTGTTAGGGGTGCAGATGTGGGCAGGTCAAGATCGGAGAGCGGGACCGATAGTAAGAAATGGGGGAGCAAAATGAAGTCTCAGGAGCTGTGTGGAAGACTGGGAGCACAGGACAGCATGACCCAGGGCTGGTGCAAACACTGGACGTGGGGGTGCCATTTTCTAAGACAGAGACACCTTGGGACAGGGTAGAAGGTATGCTTGGGACTCAGGACTCAGGAGAGAGGACCAAGCAGGGACAAGAGTTGCAATCTCAGCAGGCCCATAGAGACCCTGGGAACTCCTAGAGGAGAGGATGGCCCTGCAGAAAGTTGACCAAATGGTCCAAGAGGACAAAAACAGGGCAAGGGCATTAAAGTGTTTCAGGGAAGCAAGGACTGGCTGGTGCCTGGAAGTCCTGAGTACAGAGTGAATATGCTAGCTGGACACACTTCTAAGGGTGGGATTCCCACAGAAGAGAATGAGGAGGGGGCGAGAGAGGAAACATTCCCCACACAGCACACAGCGTGAGACAGTGGGAGGTTATTCTGGGGCCTCCTCTGGTAAATATAGCCTCTGAGCTAGCCGGAGACAGGCTTGGGGGGGGGGGGGG